AGTTATCTTACTGAGTCCAGAGATTGAATCCCCGCTCAGAGATGGCTCCAGTCCAGACATGGGAATAACAAACACTAAACTTGGTTAAGGTATTTATCTGACTAAATTATTTAGCAGAAAGTCAAACTACAGCTATAGGTTTTACAAAAAAATGCACAGAAAACCAAAAAGCTGACAGGTGACTGGTTTGAGTTTGTATTTTCATGTAGTCGATGGTTCTCAGCTGTAAAATTCAGAGCTGCTTATTATTTTGTGGAAACGTGCCGTCGTGGACGCTGTGAGGCCCTTTGGCGTCTCAGGTCAGTGGCGTATATGATATTGACGGAGGACAGTGGTGATTAATCAGCTGTATCGATCGCTCTGATATCTGTGCTCCACTCTTTCAAAGCACACCTCCTGAAAACACGGACAATCAATGAGAAACCCAATGAGTTTTAAAGCAAAGGAAGGACAGTGCTTACTCCACGACTGCTTCGCTCAGTGATCGCAGATGTTATCAAGAACAGACATTGAGTGTGTCGAGGCTGATTCAGAAGATCTCAAACTCTTCAGTCTGACTGACGGTGTTCAGCGTGAACGAGACATCTCACATATGAGGAGAGTACCCATCAAACACACCTTTGTGGAAGTGATTGTCCACTGTGGGAAAACCATCAACCACTAGAACAGTTAAACTGAAATTCTCAAAAGAAGAAGAAAATAGATGTTTACACACTATAAATCGAATGTTTGGAATCGTGAATATGTTTCCGAAAGAGTCTCTTCTGCTCATCAAGAATGCGTTTATTAGATCATAAATACAGTAAAACAGTGTAATATTACTCCAGTGTAAATCAGCTGTTCTCTGTGTGAATATACAGTAAAGTGTAATTTATCATCATTACTCCAGTCTTCAGTGTCACATGACCCTTCAGAAATCACTCTAATATGAGGATCTGATGATCAACACACAGTTATGATTATTATCAGTGTTGAATTCTGTGGAAACTGTACACTACCATTTCTTATTTATAAAAGAGAACGTTTTATTCAACAAGGGCATTTAATTAACTTTAAAAACATTAATAATGTTACAAAATGTGTATATTTTAACAAGGTTGGGAGGGTGAGGATTTTTATATGGGCAGAATAAAGACATGGTAGAAATATTAAGAGTATGCAAGTGTGTTATTCCACAAACACAGAGCTCAGAGATGAGCAAATATACATCTCACTCAAATAAAACCTGCACTAACACGTGTGTGTGTGTGTGTGTGTGTGGTCTCTTCATAAGCAGATTATAAACGGTAATCCAGGTATTCGGGCATTTACATAAGTACTCATAAACCTGAGCTAACGCAAAGCTGTTTATCATCATATTTATTTATTTTTCCATCTCATGCATTTCTCCTTCAGGGGACTCGGTGAATTAAAGCTCTGTCCTGGTGAAATCACTCTTACTTGCATGTGGCTTTTATCCACAGAAACACATGAAAAATGAAATTTGGCACCAGTGTCTTTGCGCTGCTCAGGCAGTGTGTGTGTAGATAAGACTTAAGCAATAGTTCACCCAAAAATATAAATGTTGTCATCATTTACTCACCATCCTGTTATTCCAAATCCCTTTCTTCTATTAAAATTAAAAACTTTTGAAGAATATCCTGGTTGCTCTTTTCATTGTGCCGAAACTAAGCATCAGTATAATACAGAAAAACAACACAATTGTTCACAAAAATGTTCCAAAAACAGTTCAACATTATATTCCAAATCTCACATTACAGCAAATTTGTGTTCAGAAAATTTAATGAGTTAACACCCTTTTTCTTGCATGTCATGATATCTTCTATTTTTCACTGAAAAACAACTCAAATTTGGGTCTTGTTTGGGTCGAAGTGTTGTATTTTTTTGTTGGTATAGTTGAATTGGATCATCAAAAGTCAGCAGCAAAGACATTGGTTAATATACTGAGAATAAATACATAATTTGTGTAATTTAAGGTATTTGCAGGTTTGCATACCACGGTTGAAAAAACAGTGCAAGTGAGAAGAGTAAATGCCTGATCACATTTAGTCTCGAACTATAAAGCCCATCATGAAGACAAAGCGAACACAAAGCCGGCACACTTCTCCTGATTTCCCTCGTTGGGAGAGCTGACAGTAATATATGGGAAAACAAATACATTTGCGTTACTTATTTGAAAAAGTAACTCAGATATATGTTTTTTTTATTTTAATTTTAATGTTAGTTTTTAATTTTAATGTTGTAAATTTAAAAGTAATGCATTACTTTACTAGTTACTTGCAAAAAAGTAATCTGATGTGATGGTGTGAGTTATCTGATATCTGAGTTATGTAATCTTACATAACTTGTGTTAATTGTAATGCGTTACCCCGACACTGTTGAAATATAGTCATTTACCTTTTTATGTGTGTTTTCAGATGAACACACTCGTCCTGAACACACACACAGTGTTAGACCTCGTCCTGAATAACACAGTCTCATCCCAAGACATCATATAACTGACGTCTCGGGACGTCTTTTGACCATACGTCACCATCCACGTTGTAGGGTACCCTTGAACATCGGTTACATGACGATCCTGGGACGTCATACAACTGACGCTTTACCTTTAACGTCGGTCGGGTGACGGGGTAGGTGTAGGTCTGGGGTAGGGTTAGGATCCGATAACCTCATCTAACCGATGTTAAAGGGTACCCTAAACCGGCGGATGTTGACGTATGGTCAAAAGACTCGTCCTGAACACACACAGCGTTAGACAACAGAGTTAGCCAGAGAGCCGGCGAGAGAAGCCTCACTGTCTCCATCTTTATAAATCTGGCTCATCCTCCTTCAGCTGTGGAGTTTTGATTAGACCTGTGGATTGAATCTCCACAAGCCGCAAATCCCAGCGCAGGAATCACACGGCAACGAGACATTGACGGATGTCTCTTTCGGTCGTCGGGAGAGCGGTTGTCGTAGCGGCGCTGACACGCTGTTGCTATGCTACGCTTCTGACACGAGACGCCTGCCACCAGGGAGCATGCTGGGATACGGGGCGGTGATTTACCTATTACACTCTCTCTCTCTCACACACACACACACACACGATAGCGTTGAGCCTTCTGCAACATTAAGAGTTGAATTAAGAATGCCTGGATTTCATTTGAGGTTGCAAACATGATACAGAATTGTCTTTTAAAAAGCCAATTTAAAGAAGCAGAATTAAAATGGATTAAAAATTCACAAAACATCTACAATTGATGTTTATAATAATTTAACTTGTAGCATGCATTTCTGGGCATTTTAAGAAACACAGAGAATCTGCTAAATTAATAAATGCAAATTTATGTAGAGTTCATCATATTTAATAAACTTTCATTTTATGGAATTTTTTCCCACTATGTCTTCAAATGGTCCGTTCAAGTCACGTTCATAAATTGGATTAAAAAAATGGATGAAAAAACATCTGATACACATTAATTATTGATTATTAATTATTTATCGTTTTTCCTCTAACAATGATCAAATTTAGAGTTAAAGGCACAAGAATGCCACCACAAAGTTATTTGTCAAAATTAATTAAAATGTTTAATTTACAATTACAATCATAACATCACCATCACAACTTCACCATCTCAATCTCTCTCTCTCTCTCACACACACACACACACACAGACACACACACTCTCTCTTTCTCGCTCTCTCACACACACACACACACACACACCTGCTGTTATGTCAGAAAGTAATGTGAGTGTGTAACGCTGAGCGTGTGAAGGCAGATTAAGCAGAAGAGCTTTATAAAGGGTTATAAAGTGGCAGGTAGGCTTGTAGCTCCGCCTCTGAACGACATTAATCAGCACTGAAGAGGGCGAACCAGGTAACAGCTGTTCTTAGACCTGAGAAAATACAACATTAATCCCCGAGACGACTTCACACACCATAATAATCACATTTGCTAGTTCTTACAATCAAGTGTGCAGTACAGAACATGCAAGACACAGTTTAGCTCCTGCACTTCCTCTCCCGGTCTGCTATTGAGCTCTCCTTCGCAGATTATACTCATTATAAACCTGCAGAGATGCAATCTCTCTCGTAAAACCTCTCCCTGAAGGTATCATCATTATCCTGCCAAACAAACCTTCCTCCAGTAATGTTATTAGAACATTTATTCAAAGTTATATGGTCTTTAATAATGTTCATAGTTCATGAAACATTAGCTGGGTGTTAATCTAATGTTTTTCAAATGTTACTGTTTGCAACTTTTTTTTTTCTCAGATGATTCAGAGAACATTTAAAAATGCCTCATACTAAAATAATACTAAGTATCAAGTACTGCAAAATTATAAAATAGACAAAAACATGTTTTTGTAATGTTCTGAGAACATTCACAATCAATGTTTTCATAGCTAGAATTAATGTTTTGCATGCAATAATTAAAGGCCAAACTAATAGATTCCACTCCAGTTTAGTGCACTTGATTCAGAAGTCCCCTTGTTAGGGTGCTAAAAGGCTGCAGTCTATCTAGGCTGTAGGAGATCGTCAGGTTTTGGAACAGAGCTTTTCTTTCATGTAATCTGCACTTACTGTGGTATAAAAGTAATTCTGCTCTTAAACTAATATGCCACCCGTTTAAAAAGACTCTTTAATCCGTTGCTGAAGCGGTTTTTCTCCATGCCTCTCAACATACCTTCAGAGAGCTTTGATATTGAGGTCAACACACTGGCACGATAATTAACACACACACACACACACACACACACACACACACACACACACACAAATCCCTTCAGGCGCAGTTTCTCTTTCCGTTCAATCAGATATGAACATATAAATGTACTTCCTTTATGAAATAAAATCGATTAACTGCTCTAATTTTAGCTCTTCAGTCACTGAATGTGTGTAGAAACTGAAGCGTTTATTTTCTTAGTGATGTTCGATTCGCGAACCAATGGCTCATTTGAACAGATTCTTTTAAATGAATCTGAGAAATAGATTTGCAAAGTGAATCGCGAGTCTGATTCAAAAGCAAAGCTTCCACAACACGGAGTTTCTACTGAGAAAAAAATCAGGATATAAAACCCTCCATGTAAGTTTTAATGCGTTTTTTTGGCTATAAATCAGTTTGATGTGTTTTTGAATGCTGTGAAAAGCTGATGAATCATATTTGAGATGCGATCAAGTCTCCTGGAAAACCACGTGTGTTGTGTTTAGAAGAACGCGCATTCAGTATCAATTTAAACATGTGTCATATGTGTAATATATAACTGTTCCAACGAGTTGTGAGTAAATAATGATATTTTGATATGATAATATAATAATAAATGTCCATGGTGCGGCCATGGACATTTAATATCTTCTGCAAACCAGTTTAAGGTTAATGCATGCTTACTTCTGTATGATCAACACAAATAGTCCGGATTGTACATCAAGTGAATTATTAACAATCGCATACAGAAACAAGTAGACAAAGTTGTTAAAAGTGTTTTCAGTGTTATGATGTTGCTAGGGGGTTGCCAAAGCGTTGCTATGCAGCTGTAAACTTGTTAAGGTGTTTTCAGTGTTATGATGTTGCCAGGGGGTTGCCAAGGCGTTGCTATGCAGCTGTAAACTTGTTAAGGTGTTTTCAGTGTTATGATGTTGTTAGGGGGTTGCCAAGGCGTTGCTATGCAGCTGTAAACTTGTTAAGGTGTTTTCAGTGTTATGATGTTGCCAGGGGGTTGCCAAGGCGTTGCTATGCAGCTGTAAACTTGTTAAGGTGTTTTCAGTGTTATGATGTTGCTAGGGGGTTGCCAAGGGGTTGCTACAGTATGCAGCTGTAAACTTGTTAAGGTGTTTTCAGTGTTATGATGTTGCTAGGGGGTTGCCAGGCATCGCTATACAGTTGCTAAGGTGTTTTTAGCTTTTTTGTTTCTTTAGTGCATTGCTCTTAGTGCATTTTATTCTGAATACAGGTATCCCGAGTGTTCTGGATGGTTGCCGAGGTGTAGCTATATCATACAGTCCTACATGCAAGTCCTCAAACATGGGCAAATTTGATTCAGGCTTTTTCAGATCCAAATTATGTCTGTTGATCTCACGGCTGAGCAGAAAGGCAGATGTCAAACAGACTTATGGGTGAAGAATGTGAACAAAAGGAAAGTGTCTGTGAGAGCTCTGATGTGTGTCCAGTGCTGTGCTTTATCTGGATCTGACTCGCTTGTGCCGTAAGCGCTCCACATCAGGGCTTAATCTAACAAATTCCCTGTTACACAAATTATCCAGCAACAAACAGATATATTAAGCAATAAATAAAGCCTCGTGCCACGACAGATAAATCAGAGACTGAGGGAGATTTAAACCTCTCTGTGACTGAAATGACTAAAGCAGAAACACGAGTCTCCCTTCAGGATTATATTAGGGATTATTGAGAGTCCGGCGGATAGTAGGATTCTCCTGCATCCCGTCACTAGAGTTTAGGATCGCCGGCTCTGCTGGACAACCCAAACTGAGGGAGGAACGCTTGTGTGTGTGTGTGTGTGTGCACGAGGTCAGAGGGCAGCACACTTATGCACGTCCAAGTTTTCTCTCTGAAAAGTCACTTTGGGTCTTTGTCATGTTTAAAGTGTGCAAACACAACTTGTGATACAAATGCCATGTACATTTTTAGCACAAATGAGCAAATCTTGCTAAAGTTTGAGGAAGTTTGTTTTAGTCCTCGTAACGCTGTTACAGACTGGACGGGTGTAATAATAACTTTGCTAAATTTGCAATGTTAAAAACTCATCAGAGTCTCTGGAAAGGTCCGTATAATTCAACATTAATCCATCAGAATGCATGCCTTCATTGGAGGAAGATGCTCTCTGCGGTCAAGCGGTGTCGTTATGTCGTACAACTGACCTGAGAACAGCAGAACCTGTTCACTATTAGACTTATTATAAACCCCCAGGCCGGGCGACTGCTGTGCATGCTGGGTATTCACAGGAAAGCTTGTTTATCGTACAGATTAAACATCACCTGCTACGACGCATATTAAATTAATAATTCAGGCCTTTCATATTAGTTCGCACCTTAGCCAAGATAGCATTAAATTATTCATGAACATGATATGAAATAAACAAAGCATTCGTCATATTTGTATAAGGTGTAATGTTGTGGCGCTGTGGGGAAAGTGTCCGTAATGAGCGGCGCAGACAGCGAAGGTCTCGGATCTGTTTCACGGGTTACGACGAACACACACACACCGAGATCTGCAGAGACTTGCGTTTTTCCTCCGTAATGAAAACCGGCTGAAATATGGTCCGGGATCACCTCCAACACACTCCTGTACAGACGCCGGCAAACAAACGTGTCCTGCGCAAAACAGATCAAGAAAACATACAATTATCTGCAAAAACTGGAACAGATTTTTATTAAATTAACCTTATTAGTGCATTACGGTGAGCAAATGCCAAAAAGGGCCCTGCTCATTTGCATTAAGATAGATTTTTCAGGTTGGCTGCACGATTTAATTAAAGAAAAGATTAAGAGTCATTAGAGGAGCTGCTGTACCTTGCCGAGCAGAGCTCTCGAATGACTCAGGTTTACACACACACAGATGGTGATCCGGGAACTGCTGAACGGCTCCAGCAGAATGAGAATGATCCTATTAGATCGACGAGGAGGAGGCTGACTGACTCTAAGCCGGCGTACACGCTTCTGTCGCTCGTGCTCAGGGGGACTTCAGGTGCTGGGTTTGGACAAATGCTTCTGGCTCATCGAGTGTGTGTGTGTGTGTGTTTGAGGATCCTGAACTGTGATCTAGATGCAGAGTTGTTGTTATCTGGAAGCAGACTGATCTCATGAAGTAGCGTGTGTATGACACGCCAATTCGTATTTCCATTTTTGGCGTGCTATCAAGACGCATAATCGCCTTTCAGCGTGTTTATGAACGCCGTTGACTTAACGTTATTACTGTATATATAAATATATGACTTACCTCAACCCCGTCCCTAAACCTAACGTCACTGGGGTTAATGGCATTTATGACTGGACATTTGACGGCGTGTTCAGACACGCGGAATGACTTGGACGTTAATGGCGTAGACATACACGCGGATAGCTCAAAATGCGTAGAGATAACACGCCACTTGACTTGAAAGTGGCGTGTATGTTTACGCAAAAGTCATGATGTCATGTTGCTGGAAGTGATGATGAACGGTTTCGGTTAGTCCACTGTAAGGGTTAATGAATGGTATTCTGGACTCAGCAAGTAGGGTTACAACAAAAGGAGGATACTTTTTTAAAATATTTGTTATTTAATGTTAGGCTTTACTTATTAAAATATTTTGTTTACTAAAATGAGCATTTTTATTTACTAAAAGAAAATTTGCAACAAATAATATATACAGCTTATTATGTAACACCATAAACGCACATTTTGCTGAAAAACAATGGCATGCGTACAGCATTACTGATTGGTGTGTAGTTTAAAGGGATACTCCACTTTTTTTGGAAATAGGCTCATTTTACAACTCCCCCAGAGTTACACAGTTGAGTTTTTACCATTTTCAGCCAATTTTCTGATATTTAGAAGAATATCAGTAACCAGACAGTTTCTGGTCTCATTGACTTCCATAGTATATTTTTTTCCTACTATGGAAGTCAATGGGACCAGAAACTGTCCGGTTACTGATATTCTTCTAAATATCAGAAAATGGGCTGAATGGATTCAAAAATGGTAAAACCCAACTGTTTAACTCTGGGGGAGGGGTAAAACGAGCCTATTTCCAAAAAAAAGTGGAGTATCCCTTTAAGGCATAAAAATGCAGCAGATCAGTAAATGTCAAACTCTCACACACTGACCTCAGGTCGGCGGTCAGATTTAATGTTAAATGTAGGGATGCATTGCAAGATATATCGGCCACCATATCGGTATCTGATATTATATTTAGTGTTATTGACTCAATAAGAAAATGTGTCCGATATATAAAAGCTGATAAATAAGGGATTATGAGACGCTTCAGATGCGCACTGATCAACGTGATCATTTTGAATCGCTTGTAATATGATTGGAATCGCTTCAAAAAAGGAAAATAAAATGATGTGCTGTCAAATAGGCTACATAAAATTAGTTTTACACATCTTTTAATGGTGAAACTTTTGATTTTATTATCAGGCTCTCAAAAATTCTATAAAAATTTGGATTTAGATTAATCAGCCAATATATCGATACGGTTATCGTATCGGGCAACATTTTCAGTTAATGAGATCTAAGCAGATGTTTTGCTGAAATGCATAAATCACATGTTATGAGGTTAATGAGGATAAAGCAGATATTTTGATTCTAGGCCCAGTTTGGTCGACCCTCAACCAGTGTATGCAAAGAAATGAAAAGCCTTGGCGTGATCTTTGACCCTTCACCCTTTTTTGCTAAACAAGTTAGTGCTGTTATTAAAGGAAACGTTTCCATTTGAGATCTATTGCAGATAGAGTTGGAGGATCTTCTGTCATGCAAAGCTTTGGATTATCGCTCTGGTCTCCTGCAATCTTCAGGATCCCTCTGACTGTGTCTAAAAGAGGGAGCATATTCCCCCCGTTCTAGCATCGGCTTCCCAGTAAATTTAAGATTTTGTATACAGCATGGTCTGGCCGTGCACCAAAATATATCCCAATATACTGTCCTCCTAAAGCACTGAGATCTTCTCATATATGAATGAAAGGGTTTAGGGCCTTTTGGATCATTTGAGGGATGCTCCTTCATTGGAGATACTCTTGAAAACTACTCTTAGCTTTTGGAAACTTGCAAGTGTTGCTTTTGCATACTGTTTGGGATCAGTTTGATGGATAACGAATTGCTTGAGTTCTGGGGGGACGTGAAGTGTCGATGAGTGAACGCTGTTCAAGAGGAAAGACACGTCAGCTGTCGAATACTTAGTTTCCTAGAGTTTGTGTCTGTACAAATAAATCCACCTGAATGGAAGTGAAGAGGCTTTCTTGATCAACGGTAAGTATTCTGGAGCGCAGATGCATTGATGGATGAATGGCTCGTTTGCTAGAATGCAGTGCTGTTGGTCCTTCAATCACGCGTTTGTTGAAGAGCAGCATTTTATTCCAATGCCTGAACATAAT